CCCCCCCCCCCCCCCCCCCCCCGATCTATGTCCCACTGACTGGAGAGCAGTCAGCAAAGTGAAAAGAATAAGAGGGAGCAATGTGGGAGAATTGGTCCCCAGTGGACTTCCTTAATACCTGTGGTGGTTAGTGTGTATGTGAGTGCAAATGTTGGTGAGAGAGAGTGAGGTGGAGAGCAAAACAGTGAGGGAGAGCCAGAGGATGAGAGTGGGGAAAAGAGAATCTGTGATCACACACAAAACTTGGGACAGATTTTGTCTCTGCACACAGTGAGAAAAACACAGAAGGGTGTGCTTAAAAATAAAGATAGCAACATGCTCCTCTTCTGTGCCTGCACGTACGCTGATGTCCCAGCGTGAAAGCACACGCACACAAACAAATACACACGTCAAATAAAATATTAAACACTACACACCATACTTTGTGTATCTTTTTTTACGACGTAAAAATGCCAACCAAAATCAAAAACCGTCAGTGAAAAAAAGATTGCATGCATGTCTACCAAGTCTCATGAAACACAAAAGAGCACCGACTTGTGCAGAATAAGCTCAAAACAATTGTTGGTGACAGCCACAGCCTGAAAGACCAACTACACAACAGCCTACAACTCAAAAATAAACCACAGCACAACGTCCTCAGACGTCGTCGTCATCACCACATGCAGCATCCATTCTCCGCCAGTGAGCGGGGAGCTGACTCTCAGTTCAGCATCCCCACAGCCAATCGCCTTTCAGGGCCCGGGGAAAAGGGTAAGCGGTACATGTGGGTCAGTAGAGGAATGTAACAAGTTGGTAACTGCTCTGCAGAGCTGCAAAACCTGACTGGACATTCAATTTGTCCCACCCACTTTTTGGTCCAAATCCATTTTTGCAAAGTCTTTGGAAAGGTATTTGATAAAATAATGGGGAGAACCATTGCCGCGACTGATATATTAACATGTTTTTTTTAGTAAATAGAAAAGAGAAGGGAAGGAAAAAAGAATAGCAGAAGAATTTGAGGTGCAGTTTTCATCTGAATAAACCTGGTCAGTCTGAAGGCTGTTAACCCTATTGTGTTGTCTGAGGAAGGCCTTACGCTCCATTCTCATTGGTAAATGGGAAGTCGGGTGAAGTAAGATGTTAAAACTTTTTAAAGTCATTTTTTACTTTAAAATGAAAAAAACATTATTTCTCTATTTTACCAGAGCGCCTATATTTACAACCAAACTTTACTCGCTAGGGAACCATTATGCTGCCTTATTTAGAGGGCTTTCTTTAGAGTTTTCTCTGTAAAGGACATACTGTCACTGCACATAGTATAATATTGCTTAATGCAGCACTCTGTTTCTCACAGCACAGCGCTGGGCCAAATGGCAGAAAGTGTTCCAATTCTATCAGCGCCTGTGAAAGATATCACAGTGTGCCGTGTTATGCACTATGTGAGGGCCGTTAATGGCTGTTGCAGGGCCAAGCACTAAGAGACCAGCAGACTAATGAAAACATGGAGGGAGATGAGTGTGTGCTCTCTGCAATACACAGAAAAACAGACAGAAGAGCCTTGGTGAGAGGTGCAGCTAAAAACACAGAAATAGATCAGAATGAACAGAGAAAATTATGTTTTTTATCATTATTATATAATTTGATTCTATTTGTCTAAAAAGAGTAGTTTGACATTTTGGGAAAACATTTAGCTCATTTGCTTTAGTGCTGAAAATGATATAGGAAGATGGATAACTCTTTCATGTTCTACAGATAGTAGTCAATTATCTTATCTTAGCATAAAGACTGGAGACAGGGTGAAAGAGCTTGCCTGGTAAAAAACACTAACTAACTCATTAACTTGTTGTATTGCATTTAATATGTACAAAGAAAGAAGCAGAAAACTGGAGCCTTTATTGGTTGCCTGGCAAATTCACAGTGATGACAAGAAGCCGCTGTATCTGGTCAAAAAATAGTCTAGCACATAACCCCCCTCCCTGCAAAACCACAATTTGTTGTTTTTACACTTAGAGACAAGCAGGAGCCAGGCTTAATGTTTCCCTCCCCCCATTTCCACTCTTTGTGCTAAGCTAACTGGCTACCGCTACAAATTTAACAAACATTAGAGTGACACCAATATTCTCATCTAACACTTGACAATAAAGCAAGTGAACTATTCCTGTAATTTATAAGTATTTCTAAACCTCTTTCAATACTGCAGGTTTTACTGGAAATTAGGCTGTATAGTAAATGACTGGCCATTGTCGTTGGTTGTCTCACATTTAAACCAGGTGGTTGCTAAAGTCATAAGATGTTTGTTTCAATAATATCAATGGTACGGTTCACTCAGGTCTTGTGTGTGCGAGCAACACAACGTCACAGGTGAGAAAGGCCGGCGGGTCAAGAAAGCCGCATGTGGTTAAAACATGCAAGACAGCAACCTCACCCCACAGCGGGGGGCAAAAGGAGGCGGAGGAGAGGCCAGGCGAGGCACTGACTACCGGTGGAGACGAGATGACACCAGGTGACTTAACAGGCAAATGGGAAAACAGAGAGTGACAAACACAGTTCCTCTACCTGAGCACCTCGGAGAGCGAGGAGTCGCTGTCATCCGACCTGGAGGCAGAAGAGGAGCAGGAGAGGGGAGGGCAGGGTGGGAAGAGGAAAGGGTTAACCACGCTAAGGAAAGACAGAAGGGTTACTGGCAAAGGGTTAAAAGGAGGAGTGACTGGAGGGAGGGTTTAGATATCAAGCAGAGAGCAAACTGGCAGGAAAGCTCAGTCAAATAATAAAGCTTGTCCAGTTTTTATCAGGCAGTTTGCCATGAAATGGGCTTCTTCCCAAAGATAACTACTGAACAGTCTGTATTCTTTAACTGCTGTCTGCAGATGTTTACTGTAGGTACACCCAAACTGGCAAAGGTTGGTTAAATGGACGTTTCCCTGGTGGTGTTAACATTAAATGTTAAAGGTTTAAAGAAATAGTTATCGACCTTTTGGCTTGTTCACTTTCTTGCCGAGAGTTTGATGAGAAAATTGTTTCCATTCTCCTGCCTGTCCGTCCAATATAAAGTTACAGCCAGCAGCTGGTTAGCTTAGCCTAGCTCTGCCTGACGGTAGCATAGTTTAGCCTGCCAGCACCTCTAAAGCTCACTAATAGACAGGTTATAACTACTTTCAATTAGAACAATGACATGGGGCTATGTGCTGGGCTGTAACCAAGACTTGTGATAGTTACACAGCTTATTACCAATTAAACAAAGAAACATGTTAGTTATTGAGCTGGTTATCCCCGTTTCCAGTCTTTATGATAAACTAAGTTAGACGACTGCTGGCTGTAGCTTCATATTTGACATACAGATATGAGAGGGGCATCAATATTTTCATCTAATCTTTGGAAAGAAAGTGAAAAAGTATCTCGCAAAATGTCGAACTTTTCATTTGAAAAAGGCAGAAAAAAGGTACTGAAAGAAAGAAGGAAGTAGTCGAGAAGGGACCACTAATATAACGCTAGGCATACACAGAGGTCAAAGAACTGCACGATACAATTTGTACACTTTTGCAGCCCCAATGCATGACTCCCCTGATACTAGTGTCCGCTCTCACATCAACTCTTTCCAGCCACATACAGGCAACTAGTGCAGAAAGGAACATATTAGGATCAGGCTCCAGGGTTAACAGAAGGGGAAATGGAGGATAAGGTTGTCAAACTCACAGGCCGGGTCCGCTAAAAGCTGTCGAGGGAAAAATCTAGACCACACCAATACAGTACTTCCACAGAGTGGACACAGTGCAATGAAAGTGTTATTATATTGTAAATATTTTATAGCTTCAGGTTTGTCACCCCGAGTGCCTGTGCTTTACACACTCAGAATCAGGAGACAAGAAACCTTCGTTTGAACATGAATTTACCTCATCGAGTTTCAAATCTGTGTCAAACGCTGGATCCCTGTCGCATAGGCAACCAATCTCTTCAAATATGATTTAATTAAAAAACAGAAGCAGAAAACATCCATACAGTCCCAATCGCAAAAACCTCTTATTGCATTTTAATAAGTTTTGTGAACTTGCAAAAGGTCACCACCATCTTTTTTCTTTGCATAGCAGACAGCTTCTCATTTGGCACCCAATTACACAGAAATCATACATACGATCCAGACTGGCTTTATAATTACTATTTTTATAAATTGTCTCCACTTAAAGCGTTGAATTTATGCTTGTGATGCATCCAGTATTTACTTCAGCAAAAACAACAAAAGATTTACCTCCAGACACACCTCGCTTAAAAATAGTGTAAATGAAAAAAGTATGTTACCACCCTCCATCAGATTGCAACTATGCAAATACTCCCTGATCAAATATGAAAGGAAAAACAACCTCACACCATTTCATCCTCCTACATCAGGCTCTACAGGAGGGCTTCTCCTGTGGGAACTACAAACACGACCCTAAACATAAATATCCTCCCTCACTGCCACACTGGCTTAATTTAAAATGACTACCAATCACAACAGCTGCATGGAAAGATGATAAGAGCCAACTACCCGTGCTCCAGATAATGAGGACCCACAGGCTCCTATACACACACATATTCACACATACAGCACACACAAAACACAAACACCATAACTCATTTCAAAAAGCATCCTCGCTAACAATTAGGGGTCAATAAAGCTGAGAAATGTTCCGGATTAATAAATATTACAAAACAAACAACTTCAGAGCCAAGCGCTCACTGAAAGGCTGAGGTCCATCAGGACCAAGACCTCACGCCACACGAACAGTTTCTTCCCGTCCGCAGTCGGGCTCATTAACAGAGCCCGGGTCCCCCACTGACTCTCTCATCCCCAGGTCTATTTCCTCCCAGTCACTCCCCTGCACATCCCTTCTAGTTCTTATTTAAAAACACTCGACACTTTTACACTACACTTACATCTCACTTGTTCATAGTCCTGTTATCTATTCGTTTGTGCACTTTATTCTATATTTTTCTGTACATTTTAATATGTTTCTACTTTGCACTGTGTTGATTGTTGTCGATTGTTAAATGTTATGCACCTCCCATCATGTCAAATTCCTTGTATGTTCAACATACCATGGCAATAAACGGTTCTGATTCTGAAATGAACTGTTGACATTTGTCAGAGTTGAAAGCTGGAATTGATTGTGAGCAGGAAGGGAAACGGCCGGTTGCTCATTCCAGACTCAACACGTTTGCAGCTGACATTAAAATGTATCTTATATCCACATTGTGTATCTCAATGTGTAAGCATGTAGTCCAGCTACACACATTGAGACATGTTTATAAAACATCTAACTACAGCCTCAAACATTACCATACATTTTAATCTAATTCTCTCCGACAACAAACCTGAATAATATGAGAAAAAGATTTATTGCAGGGCTCTTTTTTATTGGATTAGATTGTACAAGGTGATTTATCTTTCTCTTACCAAATGCACCTCATGACATCTCAAAGCAGACATATTATACCACATCTTGCTTTTTTCCCCAAACAACCACAACTGCCCTGCCAGTTTGCTCCTACAGAGGATGTTACAATGTGAGGTGATTCCCTCCTATTTTGCATGTGTTTCCTAGTAACTGCTGTATGTCGACTGGAATCATGCTGCAATTAGTACAGTCTTGTTGTTAGCCTGTGGTTGTGGCTTGGATGATCAGATCTTCCATGCCTCTTGAGTGCACTTAACATCTGGATTCTGTGAATGTTCGCACCATCCGTCCTCCCAGGAACTATATTAATCCCAAACAAGTATTTTTTCCTCGAAAAGGGGATAGGATAAGAGCGATTCATCTGACGATAGACAGTTGGAATAGCACACTCTTACATCTACAACGCGGCCAAAAGCACTTTCCTCACAAAAGGCCTGACCATCAGCCTGTCTACAGGGCCACTTTATACTATGGAAGAGAAGAAAAGAAAAGAAAGGACTGGTTCAAAGTGAGACTGAATTGACCTGATGAGAATGCAGGGACAAAGGGACAAAAGCAGTGAGTGCGTATGTTTGTATCTGTGCAACAGTGTACTCACTTGTCCAGAGCAGAACCTTGGGTTTGGTTGCTGGTGAGCCTTGAGAAAACATTGCGGTCGTTCCTGGCCCTTAGAGGAGGGGATGAGGGGGGAGTATAGCCGTCAGTGGGCCTGATAAAGGGGCAGGAGGGTGAGGAAGGTTTAGGAGAAGGAAAGACAAGACGAGTTAAGAGGGAAAGAAGTAAAGAAAATTACATTACACAGTCAGAAAATGTGATCAATCTGCCAACAAAATAACAAAAGATTTGATTACAGTGCATGTACCTGTACGCACGGTCGTAGGATTTCCTCCTTGTTAGAGGGGAAGTGTCATAACCCCGAGACTGCCTGGGACTGACACACAGACACAGACACACACACACACACACACACACACACACACACACACACACACACACACACACACACACACACACAAAAGCAAACTAAGCCAATCTTGAAGGGAGTGCACAGGAGGATGATTCACGTATATGTAAACTGTTGAGAATATATAAGAAAGAAGGGTTCTTTGGAATTTAACAGCATTTCTAGCAGACTAAGCAACTGGCAGACTAATTTCTTTAAATATCAAATTGTACACAACGGGGCGTCCCATCCCCGAGGACTGATGCAAATCTGACTGATTCATTGGCTTCTCTTCTTCTCTCCTTGAAGCCGTTTTCTAGCCTAAGAAATGTCAGGTCTCTGGTAGTTTTCCAGTGGTTGTTAACTTGGTAGTGGGCTGTAGGAAAAAAATCACTCAAAGATTTTGACAACTTTGTCTCTGTCATTAGGATTAATAATGTTCCTGTTGATTTGTGATATTCCACTGGGTGTATGGTTATCCAATTATCCTTGAGTTTTTATTTAACTTGTTTGTTTATCCTCGTAACACGTTTTCTGTTTAAATGTTCCAGTTCAACACGTCATCGTCATTCCATGACTCTGCTCTTCTGCTTGTTTAAGGCTCTTCAGCGAAACAAATGTTGACCAAAATGCCAAATCTTAATGAAAAACTCTGTTGTTCTTTATATTGGTTGGTTTCTCTTCTGCACTTGTATTTCCTTTGTTGCAAACGTATTATTTCACTCTAGCTGTAGTTGTGGCCTGTAACATTTGCATATTATATATTATACTTAATTTCATCTAACTTTAGAATTTCATCCCAATGATTTTCTTTGCTTCTGTAAATTCACCTTGCTTCATCACATATTTTGATTCACTTACAAGGTGTGGCCCCTGACAGGTAGGCTGATGGTGCGGGACACCCGGTCCCTGTGGTAGTGGTCTCGTAGGGCCAGGCTGAGCCCCAGACTAGCTGTCGCCAAGCTCAGGCCGTCCTCCTGGATGTCCGTCAGCGAGGCCAGAGACTTGGTGATGTGCTGCTGCTTGCTGCCTGATGAGTGGTCGACACTGGGACCAAGATACTCTGCAGACACCGCCTTCATCTGAGCTGACAGACGAGGCTCCATCTGATGAAAAATGTTACAGGGGACAATAAGAGGATGATATGAGAAAGGAGGACAGTGTGATATGAATAGCTGAGCAATGAAATAAAGATAAATATTGACTTTAATTAAGGCACAGGAGGAAATTAAGATGCTGCCAGAAAAAAAACAATAAGCAGGGAGAGAAAAGAGACAACAGCCATTATGGGGTAAAACAAAGGCTGGATAGGAAAAAACAACTAAAATACCCAATAAAGGATAAAGAACACAGTATTAGCATGAGGATAAAAGGGATTGGTGTCAAATCAGAGGTACCTCCTCAGAATATTCAACCAAGTTTTAGGAAGTGGAGGAATTGTAAGTGTTTGCTTATACTGCCACCTCATGGTTCCAAACTAAATGGCAGCTGCTCTGACAGACAAACTGTGGCATGTGTTGACAGTTAAAATTAGAGCAAGGGTCTCAACACAATCACTAACACTAACGCTATTTGATAACATGCAGTGTCATCATGGTTCATTAAGGTCTGACAGTCTAGATACTGAGAGACGCAGCACTGCCTGATGCTTTGAGCACTGACACTAACAAAAATAGATCTATTGTGAAGTATACATATGGAAGTAATGTTAACACCTGGGTTTAAGAAAACTGGACAGAGGACACCTTTCCTGTGTAAAGAATGTGGATTTCAATCTGCAACAACTACGCACTTCAACAATAAAAATCAGATGTACCTTTATTTTGAAATCATCTTGGCTGTTGGATTGTTTCATTTGCGATACACTGCAGAAAGAGAGGAAATCAGACTCATACAGTACATTTTGCAAAATTAGACTAATTTTGGCACATTGTGGTAAACGTTTTTTTTTTATTTTGCGTGGGTGAATGCAGTCTCACCTGCTGTCAGAGGCTTGGCTGAACTCAGAGGGCTCCTCGTCTGTGCTGGCATAACCATTTTCTGGAAGCACACAAAACATACAACTCGTCAGCCCCCAGCACACCGTACATACACTTCCACTTGCTAATGTCCCGACCTAAGACACTCACATTTTCTAATATCACAGCATTTTCAGTTTTTATTTATTCTCTAAAGGCAATTAAGGCAAGAGAGCATTCAATATAAAGTCTTACACACTGCCACACAGAGCTAGACACAAACAAACAGCACCACTCACCCTGCTGTACATTGTGGATGAGAGCCTGAAGCTCAGGGATGTATTCTGCCTTTTCCTTCAGGGCATCAAGGATTATGTGATTGTGAGATGAGCCAATCACATCCGTCTGTCTCAGCTGACCCTCCAGCAGGCGGATCTGAGCCTCCTTCTGAGCCACCTGTAAACTCTGCGCGCGCACAATGACCGGACAAATCAAAAATGATGATGAACACACACACACAGTAATGTTGCCCTCAACCTTTACACTTGATATTAATCAAACAACAGTAAAGCTACCGCCTAGTAAATACAGTGTTTTACTTTTCTGACCACAGACAACATCTTGCAGTACAAAGAGACACAACTAGATGGCCCCACACTCCCTTATTCAATGCACCTCCACTTCTCTCACTAGGGACATTGCAACATCACTATATAGGAATAAGAAAATAAAATGTTTGCCAGTTGCAAGACATGATAACAGTACAAAACTATTTTAGTTCACCGTATTTAACACCCATAATAAGTAAGTATATTCTATTATCTTTGTTTTGTTGTTAATGCTACATATATTCTTTCACACCTCCAAGAGTGCAGATTTAAATTGTTCATTATTGATTTTTCAGATGTTTCTAAGCCTGCAAACCCACTTATTGTCTAGTTAGGTTTTCGTAGGGGCCATGTGTGATGACTTACTTTGTCTATGGAAGCCTTCAGGAAGTGGTCCAGCAGGTGGCGCGCTTCAGCCAGAGAGCAAGAGCTGATCACCACTGATGTGTCCACTGAGTCCAGCTCATCCTGCAGGAAAACACAATCATAGGCATTGCTATAGATCTCCTGTCACTTTTCACAGCTTCGAAGCAAACATTACCGTGTGTGTGTGTGTGTGTGTGTGTGTGTGTGTGTGTGTGTGTGTGTGCGTGTGTGTGTGTGTGTGTTCATACCTTGGTCTCCTCTATCTGTACAATGGTGGCCTGGCAGTCAGACAGGCTGTCATTGATGTAGTCTATGTTGGCGTTCAGCACCTCAATGTCCTCGTTAATTTCCTGAAGGAGGCGGTCTTCTGCTTCTGGCCCCTCCCCATCTGCCATTAGTACCTCCCTCTTATGTGAGAGCGATTCCTGCTGGACTGTCAGCTCCTCTCGCTTCTGACTCATCAAAAACACAAATGCACGCAGAGAAAAAGAAATGTCAGAGCTATACTTACAAAAACATATGCATATGTCAAAGATAAGGACATACAATTGTTATTTTCACAACAGGAAACTATATTAACTACGGTATATCTCTGTGCAATACGAACACATTTTAATATATGCTCTAACATCTTGCAGATTCATAGAAAAACACTGTTCCCTTTTGAATAGTACGGCATGATTTTATCAGTGTTTGTCTATGAAGAGAAGAGGAAAGGAGAGCCTCACTCACTTAGGTTTGAAATACTTTGATGAAGTGAGCCAGAAAAGCCACTAAGATGTCACCATTGAAACTGCTGCTGACACTACCATGTGCATAGGTCATTTTAAGTCCTTATATTTAATTTGATTTTAAGCAAATGTAATCACACGAAGAAAGACGCCTCAAATAGCACCATTTCCACCTTAATCTCGAGAAAAAATGTGAAGGCCATTCCTACCTTGATGAGGCGATCCATGTCGGCCTCCACGTTGGCGATGGTCATTCTCTGCATGACAATGTCAACAATGCGACGCTCGAGTGCTTGCCACTTCTGACGGGCAGACTTTGAGAAGCTGCTAGCTCGGCCCGCCGCTGCAACGCTGCCCAGGCCTGCTGGCTTACGCTGCAACTTCTTCCTATTGCTGGGAAGAGATAAAGGGAGAGAGGATTATTTTGACTGGACGCCAAAATAATTAGCTGAAATGATATAAACTATAAAGCTCCGTAAAGCTGAGAGGAGCTGCAGATTCAGGTGATAAAGCATCACTACCAGTAAGCCCTAACATATTGTCATTTAATACATTTTGATAAAAACATCAATAACAAAGACGGTGTAAACACGTGCACATGTAAAGTCGAGGTCATTAACTACATGAGCCCATCTTACCTAATGACCCTGGATCCATCCATGCTCCCTTCGCTCTCGGCCAAATATCCAAACACATTGTTTTTGTTGTTCCACTGCTTCACCAGCCCGCTCACAGTCCTCGTAGTCTCAGGTTCAGAGCTGCTTGCTGTAGTGTTGGCCGATAACTCGGCTCCAGAGTCTGTAACTGAGGGAGAGTAGTTCCAGCGGGCCACACGCCCGGCCACGCGGTCTGACATGGGCTTGGCCAGGCGCCGCAGGGCGGTCACCTCCTGGGTCTTTCTGCGCAGCACCTGCTCCTGTTGCCGCTTCTGCGACTCCAGCGCTCGAATCTGGTACTGATGGACAGGACGGAGAGAAATAGTCCTTTAATATGTGTTTATCAGTCCTCGCCTCTCTTTTTAATTCATCTTGAAACATTTTTTAGTTTATATTCCTAAGCTAAATAAGACAGTTTCCACAACAGGCTTACAAAGTGTTGATCATGAGAGGATTTTAGGACGAACCCTGAATAAAAGGATTACGAATAAGGCAGTGCAAATGTTTCCATGCTCACTAATAAGCCCTCTCCTCCAGGGAAAACAAATAAAGATGGAAATGAATGCATTTAGGCTATGTACTGATATTCAAAACATAAAAGTTAATCCAAACAATCTGTGTGCAATATGTACATGATACTTAAATCGGTTTTAAAGTGCCAGGCTGACAAACACAGCAACTCATCAGCATGAATCATTCTTTAGAATGTGGACCATGTTGACAACGGCTGAAACTTAGATTGAACACGCTCATATACAACATTTTCTCATACTGTCTCATCTTGCTCCAAATAATTCTATTTCAGCATGAGGCATTAGAAGGAGCCGAAGCACCAAATCAAATATGTTAATATGTGTTTCTGAAGACTGTAGTATCTACTGTTTGCGGTGCTGAAAATCTCCGTCCTAAACACACACAAACGCATGCAGTCTGACCTCTTGTCGGCGCTGCTCTTTCTTGAGTTGGGCGATCTCACGGTTCCTCTTTGCCTCCACCATCCTCCTCCTCAGCTGCTCCTCCTTCATTTGCTTCATCAGCGTCACCTGGACATAGCAGAGAGGGCAGGTTTCTTAAACTGCACCAGTAGTCCTGCTCAAACCACGTCATTCATCCATGCTCCTAATCCTCCTCACTCACTATTCCTTCTTTTTACCTTGGCTTTCTTCATGTCGTTGACCTCCGTCTGGAGTTTCTTCAGCTCCCGTTCATACCTCCCCTGGTTTTTGAGGAGACGTGCATGCTCTTTTTGTGCCACCTGTAGCTTTAGCAGATCTCGGTTCATCTCCTTAAGACGTTTCTCATAGTCCTGCTTGATCCTGCCGGCCTTCTCCTCCGTGTAGTTCTCCATGGACACTGTGTAGCCGTGGAATAATGTTAATGACCTGTTGTCAGGCTTTACCTTTAGTGGCACTTTTTACTTTTCTACTGATCAACAACTTCCCAACCACATGTGTAAACTACTAATTCCATGATGTTTAAACGTACTGAGATTCTGCAGTACGCGGTCTCTCTCCAGCTGAGTGTCTCGGATCTTGTTTTGCAGTAGAACAAGCTTCTCCTCGTACTGCAGCTTCAGCATCAGCAGCCTCCGCTGGCTGTTCTCCAGCTCGTCTATCAGCTTCTGTTTGATCTCGATCTCGCAGGTCAGATCAGCCAGGTCCGCCTGGAAGTTGGCTGCAAATTGGAAGGGAAAAGTCAGACAGAGTCCAAAGAAGCGCTTATAGAGTAGTTAAAATAATATTTTCTTTTATGATACTGACATAAATAGTGGGACATGTCAAAACAAGCTGCCACACAGTGTAAATTCTGCACATTAAAATTCAGCTCTACTCTACTCGACTATAAAATGTCTCCTTCTGTCTTCACTGCCATCTGGCAAACTGCATAATGTTCTTAAGAAAAAGGAGATGCAGGTTACGTTAGATGGGACAAAGAGTCTACAGCCACGCTAGCAGCTCTGTAAGGCTGTAGACAAATTACATATCAATCATGTGATTATTTTTGCAAAGATTTAGTCATAAATTACAAATAAATTGAAATTTAGACCAGATGATGGTGCTAGAGGAAAGGTTAGGGAGGTCATTATGATGCATCATCTAGGAATCATGAATGCAAGATTGTTGTGTCAATTCATCTGATGGATGTTGAGATATTTCACTGGAAAAGTAGAACTTTGACCAGCTGGTGGCGCTAGAAGAAAAGTGTATCATCAATTAATTAGGATTCATCCTCTGGGCACAATGATTGACTGTACAAAATTAAATGGCAATTAGTGGCAATCATCCAAAAGTTGTTGAGAGATACTTCCCGATCGACCGACACAGAGACAGACAGAAAAGGGTGAAGAGCTCTGTTGGTTTTGCAGCAGCAGTTGTCAGGAACGCACCTTTCTCTTCAGAGTCTGAGTCTGAATCCACCAGGCTCTCGTCACTGTCAAACCCGTCCTCTTCCTCCTCCCTGCCTTCCTCTTCATCCTCCCCCTCATCTTCATCACAACCGCTCTCCTCCTGCAGTGGAGACATGACATCCTACACGCAGAAACACACAGATGCATCAGACCTTGTTCCGTTTGTTTTCGTTTTAAATTCGTATGAATGCAAAGGTGTAATTATTACCTCAGTGTAATTGTCGTCTGAATCGATCTCCCCATTCTGTCCATTCTGACCACTCCGCCCGTTCTCTCCATTCTCGTGAGTGTGCAGTTTCACTCGTTTCTTCAGACCTTTCTCCAAATCAGGACTACAGGAAGAGAAAAGCATGATTGTTCAGCAACATGACAGTTGGCATTGTATCATCAAATTATTTTCCTTAATTTCTTTTACTATTTTCACCTGTGGATGATCGTCTATCAAATTCAACTGCAGTAATATGAAGGTTTTTTTGTCCATTACCATGTCTTACAAACACTCTCTGTCATGTAAGTGAGATGTCACACACTCCTAACAACCACCATTAAGGCTTTGGGAATGTTGCCAAGTGATGTGCTTATGGCAAAATCAGACCTCTGAAGGCATTAGCAAAGTCTTCTTCAGCTCATCTCAGCCCTTTTAGCTCTTTACTTTTTATTGCCAATTGTACTCCCCTTTGATCCCTCTTTTACAACCATCCCCAGTCCCATCCCTAAATTCCCGTCTACCTCCATCTCAATCCCATTAAACCTCAATTAGCCTGTTAGGCTTTGGACTCTTCATTCTCATGACCCACTGGCCGACTGAATTAGACCTTTTTGTGTCCAAGCCAGCGTTACTACTCAGCACTGGCTGCATCCCAGTTCTATTCAGAAGCTGGCCGTCCCAAAGCACTAATCAACTTGTGATGTGGCTCTTAAGCTAGAGGAGAAAAGCAATGAGGGGGGGAGAGAGTATATGAGCATGCACAAAAACTTACTCATTATACTTTTGACAATGGCTTAGAGGGAAGAATGAGAAATTGAATTGACATCAAGCTGAGATATTTCTGAGTTTAGATATATGAGAGAAGAGCTTCCCGGACTTCCTTTGGATGCGACTCCCCCGAAGACTTGTGCCACGATTTCTATTATATTCTATTTTGTTTTGTGAAATTAGAGTGTGATAACATCTTTAATGCATCCCTCTATCCTCACCTCATTCTTCTCTGCCTCCTCTCCTTCTTCTTCAGCCTGTCGATGTCCAGCTTGGCCCGGCGTAACACGTCCGTCAACTCGGCCTCCATTGATAATGAAGCGGGGGAGGAGCCAGGGGGGTGGCCGGGGGCGGGGCTGAGAGTGGAGGAAGGGAACGGGGAACGCGAGGAAAGTCGGACTGTCTGCCGTCGCAAAGACTCGTTCATGGCCTCGCTCTCAAGAAGCTTGGATCTGAGGGAGGAGAGAGGAAGAGAGGAGGAGAAAAAGACAACTCATCAATCCATAACATCTGCTTTGTTCTGAGAAGAGGAGAAAATATCACTCTGAAATGAAAAACAACATTCAAGTTCAATTCATAAGCAAAATAGAAATTACCTTATCTTCAATTCAATACACTCAGGGGTTTAACCTTTACAGCCTTGCTTGGTTTGGTATTACCAGAAGCATATGGTAGCTTACTTTAGCTAACATTAACAAATTTGTATTGCTGTGCAGCTAACTCTAATTTAACATTGTACCATAATTGTCACTTGTGGTCACATTTTCAGCTAAAGTCTTTAAAGGTATGAATTTGCTGATTTGGCAGAGAAAAATTATGATATGTGATATCATAATAATCAAAGTACAGAAAAAGCAACTGATCCAACCACATCCATTCGGGGAAATGGAAGTGGTCTGCATAGTAAGTCTCATGCTTTCTAGTGGCGAGTTAGATGAGACAATTTATACGGATCTTGTGTCTCTCTGGTCAGCATGAATCTCCATAGCCAGGGGAGATGGTTAGCTTAGCTTAGCATTACAACTGAAAGAAGGGTAAAACAGCTAGTCTATCTCTATCCAAAGGTAGCATCCATCATTTCTACATATCAGTCTTTGACCAGATTAAACAAACAACATATATCTTGTAAAATACTGAGTATTGGATGTGCTGGTAGGTGCACTTCCGACAGAACCGAGCTAGCTGTTTCCCCTTGTTTCCAGTCTTTATACTAAGCTTGGCTAACCGGCTAAAGGGCTTCAACTCCATATGGAACAAACGGAAACAAGGGTAGTATACATCATCTCATCTAACTCGTGGCATGAAAGCTCATGAGCGCATTTCCCACAAATGTCAAAATATTCCTTTAAAAAACAAAGTCAGGTCAAAAGTTTGTAAAGTAAGTGATGGCAGTACATAAAGGTATAATAGGAGGTTTGGAGCTCTTACCTAAGTTCTTCAACCTCTCGGATGTAGTTCTGTATTAATGCACCGATCTCCTCATTGCCCTCACCTAACATTCAAAGGGAGAAGGAGCCTCAGGGCACAGAAAACACTCAATACAATAAGGATGCATTAAAGTAAGATTCAAGAGGCGGACTTAGGAGCAACTGAATTCATACATTCAGAGCAGTTTCAAATCTCCCTCACGTACTTGACTTAGTCAGCAGAGTGTTGACCTCATTGGCCAGCATGTGTGTTACACGGGTGTTGAGGTGGTCAATGGTCTCCTGCATGGCCTTCACCCTGTGGCGCATTGTGTCGTTTTCTCTCTGCAGCATTGCATTCTCCGTATACAGGTCGCTGTAGCCCTCTGAACCATCCTCACCTGCCACACGCTTGCCCTGCACAGAGACCCAAACAGTCAGTATGAACATCAATTACCCTGAATTCTACAAGCATTTTATTTTCTCGTCTCATTCTCCACTCTCCTTTCTGCATAATTGTTGACATTAGATAAACCATGTGACACAGAGCTTCTCAGCACAAGCATATTCAGATTCAGGATTCATCTCTTTGGAAAATGCTGACGTTCCACTGATTAATCTTCTTCATACTCTGCATGCACTATAGCAAAAGTATAAATGGATGCGTGTGTTCCAGTGAAGATCTTTAATCTTATATAGTTATCAGCTGCTGCTGCAGACATGGACTCTGCTTTTCTTACTCGCTCTCTAATACCATCTTCACTTCACTCCCATTAGTGTTGTCTTTTTTTCTTCTTCTACTCAGTGACTATTCTCAATTTCATCCATCATGTCAGCCCTCATTGCATCAGTTACACTGACAGCCATGTGTTGTCTCTCTTCTCCAACTCGCCCCCCCATTTTTCTCCCCCCCACTTTTTCCCCCAGCTTTCTTATAGTCATCCATCCCACCCATCTCTCACCGCCTTGTACTCCAACAGTTCCATCTGAAGCCGGGCTATCTCGGCTCGCAGGGCGCTGATCTGCTGGCTGGTCTTGTCTTGGTTCACCACCACCTTGTTCCTGATGTTTCGGGCACGGTTGGCGTACTTCAGTGTGTTCAGTGTCTCCATGAAGTCCCGGTCTGACGGACTGACGCAGGCGATCATCACTGTGCGACTGAAGAAGAAGGAAACGTATCAACTAATCATTTCTGCTCCAGTGCCATGATAAATTACGACTTTCTCTTTTTGAAACAATTTTCATATTATCCCAGAATTATATTATTTTCCTACCACATAAATAATTTGTCTGTATGTACAGTATATGTGTGTGTGTGTGTGTGTGTGTGTGTGTGTGTGTCTGTGTGTACCTGTTGCCTCCCAGGGAGTCCTGTAGCAGACGAGTGAGTTTGGAGTCTCTGTAAGGGACGTGCCCTCCCTTCTTGGTCTGGTCCCCTAAAGCACTGATCACATTTCCCAGCGCCAGCTACAGCACACACACACACACACACACGCACACACACAGAAATTGATGAACTGATTTTCTAGTATTATTAACATGCCGACATATAAAAGGTTCTTAACACTGTTGTTTGCTGCTTTATTAATGCTCTGAGTATCGTATTGAGAACCTTTAAGAAAGCAGAAGAGAGATATGGAAACTCTGTATTTAAATACGTCTCACACACACACACACACACACACACACACACACACACACACACACACACAGTTTATATGTCTGTCTGTCTCACCAGTCCACAGTTAATGGAGATTCCCTCACGGGCTCTCTCTCCTGTAGCTCCTGTGCGTTTCAGCCTCTCAGAGCCGGCCAGGTCCACAAAGTGGAACTTGGCCATCAGTGTCTCGAACTCCGGCTGAGCGATGGGGCCGGAGTCCACACCGTTCAACTCCCCGTTCTCTTCTGCTCCTCCGTTCTGCTGGCGGGGGTGGACAAAAAACAATTCAAAATGAGTTCATGAGTTGAGAACGTCTTACTCGAAAATAGCAATGATTTCATGGTACTATCACTGTAATACTAAATCATCTTTTATTTTTGTTTTTTCCCCTCATAACCCCCCACCCCCCTCCATCCCCCCCTCCCCCCTCCACTCCATATCTCACCATTTGAGCCCGCTGGCACACTCTCATCTGACAAAGGTAGATGGTGAAGATGGCATGCGAGCGGGAGCTCGTGGCGTTCATCTGGGTGCTGGCTGTGGTGCGGGACAGAGCACCGAGCTTCAGGCACTGCAGCAGCTGCAGCACACACACACAATATGGAGGACATTTGGTTATGACTGGTTAGTTTGAACTAAAGAAGAAAATTTCTGAGAACTCAACACAAACAAGTCTTTGTATCCAATGACATTTCTACTTTATTTTTTCTACACACTCAAAATGCTGGCAAATGCTATTTTTGCCCTCTCTACTGATAAGTCCTCTCTTGCTTTTGATCCTCAACCTGATCAGCTGACTTTCCCCACTTCCATCAGTCTCCCTCCCCCTGTTTTGAAATTCCCCATCCACAGAAGCACCCATTCGTCTCCATTCTTGTCTTGTCTCTCAGCTGTCTGAAATTTGGGGAATAAATGCACGGATGACCTCACCCAAATTAAGCATCTCTTCTCCTTTTCTTTCTACTTTCATTTAACAATCTGCTCACATATAGTGTACAGAAATACTACGTATTGAAAAAGATAAAATGCAAGGATGATGACTGCAGATGACTCGCATACGATACCAACACACACAAACATGCACCCACCTCCTCCTCGGAGTTCACCAGTCTAGAAGTGACTCCAGTGGTGTAAATGCTGCCACTGGCGTCTTCATGGATCTTAATGTTGGACTTCCTGTTCCGGTTCTCTGGATCTCTGGCTTCGTCGAACAAGTCCAGGACCTCTTCATTGTACAACTGCAATAAACAGAAAGCACAAACACATATGCATCATTGTACAATTTATATATACTCAATGCTAAGGCAAATACTCAATTTTAACATAACCATTAAACACAATTAATTAATGAGCAGTTTGTCATATGCTACTCATGGTCTCCCATTTTCTCACAGCTGTGTTTCTTATTTACACACAGGTCAAATGATTGACTCAGAAACTAAAGAGGGCAAGGGCCACAGCCGAAAACTCAGCTGTTCCCACCTACTCCCAAACACACACACACACACACACACACACACACATCTGTTAACCGTCAACAGAGATAACCTTGTGACCTGAGAATAAAAACACATGAACAGCAGAGAGCAGGACAGACAGAAGAAATAGGAGAAAGCTAGAAAGAAAAAAATTTTTAACATTTATTTTATTGTAATTATTATTACAGAAATTGTATTAAAGTAATTAGATCATGCACACACACACACACAAACATATAAATGTCTGCCCACAGAGGCAACCCAAACCTTTGCCTGCCAGAAACCTCTGGAGGAAATGATTACTCGTCATATTATCTCATTGCTCCTACACAAGCATCCCTCCCTCCCTCCCTCCCTCTTATCCCTCGCTCTTATCCATCCTCTACCACACAGTGATGAGGAATAATGTCCGAGGTAATGGCCAACATTAATCAAGACCAACAAAGCACAAGCAGACATTCCTGCCCATCTGTCATTGGGTTGTAACTTCCTGTTTGTGGAAGAGGGGGCTGATCCTCTCGTCTCCCTGTTTTGTCCCATCTGGTTAGAGTTAATATGGACCGATAACCATCCCAACACACACACACACACACACACACACACACACACACACACACACAAACATTTGCAAGCAAGAATATCAATTCTGCCCTGTTAAATTGTTAGATCAAGTGTGTTTGTACATGTGCTCTCCATCCATTCACATCTACATGTGTGTCACCCACCTCTAGGAACTGGGCACTGACTTTAAACTCGGGTGGCTGGATGCCGGCCTCCTGGGCGTGCACCCTACTGTTCTGGATTCCCTCAAACAGCTGGTGAACAGCCCGTGGGATGATGCCCTGCTCATGTGGGCCCAGGCTCAAATCAAAGCCCGTTCCCATGGTGTAGGTCTTACCCGAACCCGTCTGAAACACAGTTTATCAACCACGATGAGATACAATTTACCGAGTACTCCAACCATCAGACATCTATGTACAGCATCCTGTTTTCACATGCGTGTATTGTCAGTTAATTAAACTTCAATAAACTGTGTGTTCAGGTATGTGTGTGTGCTTTTATTCAACTAGAATATTTGGGCACCAGAGTATCAGTCGTTATCAGTTATCCAATAAGTACCAGACATATAGATCAACATCATCTTAGTATAACTGAACCTCTTACAGAGAAATCTCAGACTAAATGTTCACAATAAAATGTAAAAACAGTAAATATAACAACACAACATTCAAAACTTAAAAATATTCAAAATTAGTGTTGGGAACATACAGTGGGTACGGAAAGTATTCAGACCCCTTTAAATTTTTCACTCTTTGTTTCATTGCAGCCATTTGCTAAAATCAAAAAAGTTCATTTTATTTCTCATTAATGTACACTCAGCACCCCATCTTGACAGAAAAAAACAGAAATGTAGAAATTTTTGCAAATTTATTAAAAAAGAAAAACTGAAATATCACATGGTCATAAGTATTCAGACCCTTTGCTGTGACACTCATATTTAACTCACATGCTGTCCATTTCTTCTGATCCTCCTTGAGATGGTTCTACTCCTTCATTGGAGTCCAGCTGTGTTTAATTAAACTGATTGGACTTGATTAGGAAAGGCACACACCTGTCTATATAAGACCTTACAGCTCACAGTGCATGTCAGAGCAAATGAGAATTATGAGGTCGAAGGAACTGCCCAAGGAGCTCAGAGACAGAATTGTGGCAAGGCACAGATCTGGCCAAGGTTACAAAAGAATTTCTGCAGCACTCAAGGTTCCTAAGAGCACAGTGGCCTCCATAATCCTTAAATGGAAGAAGTTTGGGACGACCAGAACTCTTCCTAGACCTGGCCGTCCAGCCAAACTGAGCAATCGTGGAAGAAGAGCCTTGGTGAGAGAGGTAAAGAAGAACCCAAAGATCACTGTGGCTGAGCTCCAGAGATGCAGTAGGGAGATGGGGGGGAAAGTTCCACAAAGTCAACTATCACTGCAGCCCTCCACCAGTCGGGGCTTTATGGCAGAGTGGCCCGACGGAAGCCTCTCCTCAGTGCAAGACATATAGAGTTTGCCAAAAAACACATGAAGGACTCCCAGACTATGAGAAATAAGATTCTCTGGTCTGATGAGACCAAGATTGAACTTTTTGGCGTTAATTCTAAGCGGTATGTGTGGAGAAAACCAGGCACTGCTCATCACCTGCCCAATACAATCCCAACAGTGAAACATGGTGGTGGCAGCATCATGCTATGGGGGTCTTTTTCAGCTGCAGGGACAGGACGACTGGTTGCAATTGAAGGAAAGATGAATGCGGCCAAGTACAGAGATATCCTGGAAGAAAACCTCTTCCAGAGTGCTCTGGACCTCAGACTGGGCCGAAGGTTCACCTTCCAACAAGACAATGACCCTAAGCACACAGCTAAAATAACAAAGGAGTGGCTTCGGAACAACTCTGTGACCATTCTTGACTGGCCCAGCCAGAGCCCTGACCTAAACCCAATTGAGCATCTCTGGAGAGACCTGAAAATGGCTGTCCACCAACGTTCACCATCCAACCTGACGGAACTGGAGAGGATCTGCAAGGAAGAATGGCAGAGGATCCCCAAATCCAGGTGTGAAAAACTTGTTGCATCATTCCCAAGAAGACTCATGGCTGTACTAGCTCAAAAGGGTGCTTCTACTCAATACTGAGCAAAGGGTCTGAATACTTATGACCATGTGATATTTCAGTTTTTCTTTTTTAATAAATTTGCAAAAATTTCTACATTTCTGTTTTTTTCTGTCAAGATGGGGTGCTGAGTGTACATTAATGAGAAATAAAATGAACTTTTTTGATTTTAGCAAATGGCTGCAATGAAACAGAGTAAAAAATTTAAAGGGGTGTGAATACTTTCCGTACCCACTGTAAGTGTATTGCATGATAGTGACAAGCAGTGTATGATTAATTAACCCTGTGTCACCACCCACTACTAAGTGTTTTATTTAGCTTGATTTGTTTTGCAGCTCCAGGCTTGATATGAAACAGAATAATCAATCACAAATCTAGAAAACATATATTGTTCCAAGATAAATCTCGATTAAATGCCAATTGGTGTGTTTAAGATGTGGTTATGTTCGCTATCTGTCACATGTGTCATCAGTGTAACACATGTATCACCAACAGGATTGGGATCAGAATTGGATGGGTATTCAGCCTGCTTCTTTGTTTTTTTACTTACTTATTAAAATATTATTTCATATAAAACAAACTGAATAATGACAAAAGCTATGGAACTATGTTCTAGAAATTAATCCAAAAATGAATCCCTAATATAAAAATCCAAGTCTCTGCATCATACCTGTCCATAAGCGAAAACTGTTGCGTTGTAGCCCTCCAAACAGCCCTCGATGAGCTTGTGAACACAGGCCTCGTGGATTTGCTGCTGCTCAGAGTCGATGTCGAACACAAAGTCATAGGTGAAGGCTTTGTCTTTACCCAGGAGGACTTGTGGTTCTCCAGGTGTGACCAGCGTGCACACGTGACAGCCCTCTATCTTCTCCTTGGCCATCTGAGGACGAATCCTGGAGGAGATAAGAAAAGGACAGAGTGAATGGAAAAAAGAGATTCTAACATCATGAATTAAAACGTGTAATATGGGTGTCACTGTTTTAATGCACCGTGCAGATCCAGCATGACAATCTGATCCACAAGCTGGACACGCTCTGCTCTGACCTCATGATCATGTTGAGTGGAAACATTTGAAGTGGGATATGGAAATCATCCAAAACTAAGCCAGGACTGTAAAATCTGTAATCTATTTAATAAGATATGACCTTTAAAACATCAGATGCTTTATCATAGTAAACATGTAATCAAAGAATACATTTTGTATCATGTTTTCTGCTGTCTCTGTATGTATTTTAAACATATTTTGGAACTGGGTTGCCATTGGTATCCATTGTAATTGTTGTGAAGCCAAACTTACTGCATGTTTTTAATGTTTGACACTCAAAACATAGGTTTTCATTGAAGTATTACTTAAAACCTTGGTTGTCACTGTCCTGGGTCTGCATACATCACTGCTGATCCACAGATTACGAAAAGGTGTACGCCATCAATTTAGCATTATATTCATATGACATTAAAAGACTCCAGACACAGGATTTTAAAGGATCAAAGGGGGACCAGAGATAATGTATTTTATATTCCATACATTGTCAAAACCTGGCGTCTACATTACCCACAATGCAACAATTCACTTCACTGTACGGATTTGGGTGTGTTTTGCTTGTAGTTGCGAATATAGCTTCAAGCTGCTAGCCTCAGGCAGAGATCGGCAGCAGACTTGTAGTCTTCGGTATACTATCAACCGACACACAAAGGAATTTATCCAACTTTCCAGATCCCCCTGGAGCCACAAAGGGATCCTTTCTCTGTTTGAGCTGACATTAAGGCAAAGTAGTGTAAGTTTTGGTTGCCTTATAAAAAAGTGTCCCATTGAGAAGAGCAGAACGTATATGGTTGAGTGGGCTAGAACATCGACCACACACTAACTTTATAGTCAGCTTACAGTAACCCAAAACATTCACGGCAGAAACCCATGTTCAGCCTTTTATATCAAAACCCAGCTGTGTCAGACAGGCACACTAGGGCTGTCCTCAACCAAAGAAATTCTTAGAGGATTAACACTCGCACCATTTTGCCGACTAATTGATTAGTTGATATAATCGACAGATCTGAAAAACTGGGTGTCTCCACAAAGAATTGCATAAAAGCACCACTTGTGTTCACCAAATCTGTAATGATGAGTCCTTCAGAATGAAGAAAGCATAGAAAAGACCTAACTAGCCCTTTAGCAAACTCTGGTCAGGAACATGTTATATATATAGAACAGGTTTTCATAACCCGTTTGTTAACATAAGTTTACTCACTCACACCATCCTCGAACACGGCTTTATCCAAAAGGGGCATTAAAATGAACCATCAATTTGATTGACTGCTAGAGGAACGTGTAGCAGACTGCGGCGCGATAGACAAAAGACAAACAAGACATTCGCTTCACTTTATAGAGTGGAACTAAACAGAAATCAGTAACAGAAGAACAGCCCCGAGGACAAAGCTCATACACAGTACTTCTGTTTGTGCTGTTGATTATTAAGTCGGAAAAGTGTACGAAATGAGTAATGAGCCATAAAAAGAACAGTTCTGAGAGGCCACTGAAGATGATGTGGCAGACTTTGGCTGATAAGTCATCATCAGCTGTTAATCCTGCTGCTCAGGACTCAGAGTTCTGCTGGGCTTTCTTTCCTGACAGGTAGTTCATCGTTCAAGTTAATTGCCTTCATCTTGCATCCCAGCTGTAAAATAATCCCCGATTTGATGAGTCTGAACATCGTCGAACTCCGTGACAGAATGAGGGCCGAGTATTTAAATTTAGGCTCATTTCTTTTATCTTGTTTGGCTGCAGAACGACTGAAAGCCTTGCAGGCATCCCTGCTGATTAGAGGAGATGTAGCTGTTAAAAAGTGACACTTTTTTTTTTTTAATTGCTTCTGCCGCAGCGCTAATTCATTGTGAGAAAACACTGCAGAGAAAACTCAAGAGTATACGCAATGTACATAAAACAGAAGATCTGTCACATGGCACCACTGTTAAACTTGGGCTTTCAGTGGTACAATGCGGACACAGTTGGGAGGTAATCACTTTAAGCTGCGGAAAAAGCTGTGAGCCAGCAGTATCGGAGCACTGGGGCCACCTCTACACATGCTAACCCCCCCCCCCCCCAGTTCAGTCTTCAGGGGATGCAAATCAACTCCCCCGCACACAGTGAGATCGCTCCACAGACTCCCTTTGGGATGCAACAACAAAGACACACACACACACACACACACACACACACACACACACACACACAAGCTGTATAGAGTCATAAAACAACAAGAGAAATGCCCAAACACATACAGCTGCTATACGGATAGTGGGCACCTCACAAAGACCCACAGTAACTCAAGACACAAATACTGTACACACAGTTCACAAACAACCTATCTTTAGTTCACACATGGTTCCTCTCAAGCATGCATTAAGAACCACACCCACTGCTAACACTCAGAGTAATCCTGTTACCGCACGTCGTTATGGTGCTGCAGAAACACACAAACACATACAGCTGACAACAGCACTTTTTGGCCCTCTTTTAGGCCTTGAGGCGTCATGGAAGAGGGTCTTCCAGGAAGGAATTAAAGACATTAGAATAGTCCAATTCAGCAGCAGCATACTGACCCTGGACCACCTTATAATAGACAGTGAGATATAGAAAGCAGCTTGCAGACAGATGAGTCCTTTATATTACTGGAGGTGACCTTAGCACGGAGGTTAATGGATCTAGAACCACAGATCACACATGAGTCCGGTTTAAGCCAATTATTAACATAAAGTGGATGTGGCAGGAGGAGAGCGCTGGCTCTGCACAATGGATTTATGAGAAGACAAACCGTGTGTGTGTGTGTGTGTGTGTGTGTGTGAGCTGCAGCTGTATCGTAAAAGGGTTGGAGGTTATTCTTCTCTCCTTGTCTTTTGTGTACAATATTTATAGGTCAGAAGTGTCAGGTGTAACACTTGACAACTGACATTTAAATGAAAGAAAAGAAAGTAAAGTATACAATATAGAGTATGGGCTGGTAATAAGTGTATTGAGTATCACATCCATTTGCTGCAACTCTCTTTGAGGTACCACATTTTGAAATCATCAGTCCTTCCCCCATTAAGAGGATCAACTTTTCATCATCACTTACAGTGAAAAAGAACATACCAGCTTTATTACTACTTTGCTTTGTCTCGCATTGACCACTGACTGACTCAGAGAAGATCGGCCTCTGCTGTCTGATCTCTGACACAGTACATAGAACAGACACTTTCCAATTCATAACTTCTACGCAGCCCGACACAGCAGTTTGGTTTTCTTTTTCAAAATTCCAGATAGAGAAATAACAGGTAATTTGTTTGGTCTTGAGTTTAGCTGAGACCCGAATGCTGCAGTATATCAGTGGCAATGGCTGTTGGTTAAGTGGTCCGCCACTGTTTGGAGAAATTGAAGACCATAAGTGTCTGCACAGAAATGTAATTGCAGAGGATGAAACCCACAGACTTTGGTGATCCGCTGACTTTTACCCTCGCACCATCATCAGGTCAGAATTCTACCTCCAAATACCTGCAAAACGAATGAGCTGTAATTTGTCATCAGCAATGCTAAACATTAAAACAGTCTTTTGTATGCAGACATGTTACCATTGTCACTGTGGGCACGCCACGTTAGCATGCTGATATTAGTATTTAGCTGAAGTCAGTAATTGAAGTCATTCATCAAGCACACATTCCAACCATTTGTTAGTTACAGCTTGTCAAATGTGACTATTTGTGCTTCTCTGTGTTTTCTATCAAAGTCGTTCATACGTTTGGACTCTAGGTCAAACAAAACAAGAAAAATAAAGACATCAGCTGGGGCGCTCTGAAATTGTGAAAAAAAATTAAATTTCATAAATGAATAATATTACACCATAATAAATAATCATTGGCTGATGCCCAAAGTATTCTAAGATAAAATAGAGGCCTATGTCTACATTTATCACTCTTCTATATATATATATATATATATATATATATATATATATATACATATACATATACATACATATACACACACATACGCTTCTTCTGAGTGTCTTCTCCAAAATCACAGAAGTGTAAAACATTCCCAAGACAATATGGCTGAATTCAGGAAAGTCTTGACAAGCTTCATATCAAACAATAATACACACACACACACACACACACACAACAAAGAGACACAAAGACAACAATGACAGCCCGTCAGTTATCCACAGGGAGAAGAAATGGAACAGCTATAAATAATCAATTCACACACACACACACTCATGATCACACCACGGCTCAGCTGGATGAACATTTAAGCCAGCTGTGCGAACAAAAGATGGGATCCATAACATTGATCGGAACAGCGAACATCTCTCACATACACACACACACACACGCACACACACGCACACACACACACACACACACACACGCAAGAACATTTAGCAGCTAAAAATAGCCCTTAACACCACGACTAAATGAGACAGAGTCGTAGAGGGACACAAAGAGAAACAGATTGTGGATCCCTGATGCAGCAAATTATTAAAGGCATTTATCTTTTCTCATCTTTGCACACGAATAGAAAAACGGTTTGAATAGCCTGAAGACTAAACAGAGTCCATGAATGAAGCAATAAAAAGCTACACACACACCTTTTTTCTTTATATACAGATGAATGTATAGGTAGGAACATGGTGTCTATACACTCATTATCCCAGTGTTTTCTCAGGGGCTCTGAACCTACTTCTGTCAGACACACAAACAAACACACACACACACACTCAAAGTCAGAAACTCATTATCCACAAGCTCTGAGGGAATTCACTTATTACAATAATTATCAAACCCAATAGTGCTAATTAGGATCAGACCCATAGGATCAGACCCATAAAACACACACACACACACACACACACACACACACACA